ACATTTTCTTGTTACCACCTTGAATGTAAATATTTAGGGTACATGTGTCTTAAATACACTGGTCATGAAGCAATTATTATGCAACCCTGCACTTCAGAGAATCTCTCCTCTGGTCAAAGAACCTAGTACGATCCGTTGGCAGTAATACATGTAATCTTCAGCTGCACAGTCAAGCATTTGTATTCCCTCGCTCATCCGCACAGCAAATTCCTTTTTAATACAGTGGCGCCTGCAGCCTGGTATGCAAGTATCCCAAAGCAGTGTGTACAGAGAGTCAGTGGTGGTGTACGTGTGTCCAGAAACTTGGCGTGTTCAGCGCCAGTGATTTGCCACACTCTCCCTGTATACAGGTACCCCTCCCCTTATTATAGATTCCACTTACAAAACCAGGGGGCCCCTCTTCTGTACACAACAATGTACGGGGACTGAGTTAGCAAAGTGGCGTGGCCAAATCAGCCCTGAATTCACAGCGGGGAAAGCTTTATTGTCATTCACAAGGGACCTGCTGGGTTGTGACAGGAGGCCCAGCAATTTGGGGAATTTGCTGAATTTGTGAATGCCGAATTGGTGTTAGTACTAACTACAACTAGTACTTGTGGGCACATGTGGACGGACATGTGTTAGGTGTTAGGTACCACTATAACTAGCTGTTTGGGCTTGGTAGAGGGATGTCCAGCAAAACTATAATCAAAACTACATCTACACATGGTCATTCCTGGCTACCGTTTTAGGATCTACAGTTCCAAGATACATAGTTAGGCTTGGAAGCTGCTCTACTAAGCCATCACTGATCAGGAAGTACTACATGTATATTGTGAAGGAAAAAGTGTCATCATTCTCAGGAAATACCAAGTACCTCTGGAAAGAATACCCAGACTGTGGTTTCAAGTACTTTACAACGATAACTTTGGAATGAAAGAGTTGTCAGCATGAAGGATCTTATAAAGAAATACATCCATCTAAAGAAGGAGCGATGTCCACCTGCCAGGGCTGCCACTTATCCGGTCAGGAGGTACTCCCCATACTGGCGATACCAAACACCTCTACAAGTGCCACAACCTCAAGATACCCATCAACCACTTCCGCCAAGTAAGTAGAGACCCGGACCAGGTAGAATGCCATAACCACATCAACCTACCCGTGCAGTTTTGGTAGGATTCCCTTCTCAAAATCCACCGCTACACGGCTACAGGTCCCCGACCACACATTCTTTACTTCAGCTCAGTCCCAAGGGGCGTAATGTTTGGATGCTCCCTCCAAATACCTTCAAAAACTTCTTGATGGTTGATTTTGAAGTATATGGGAGTATTGGGATTAATCTTCGATATTAAACTATATATGCAAATATCATATTAATCATGCACACCTTGACTGCAAGATTTTTATGGAGATCCATTGTCATCTTCATATTCTTGACAGTTTACCCATTCCCATTGGTTAAGAGCCCGTCACATGGCACGTCTTAAACGGATGATAAAAACATGGCTGGCTGGTGGTCTTAAACACTATGTTTAAGCATAGATAATTACCCACAGTTTTGCCTCGGGTAATTATTACCATTCCAGACTTCAACCAGTCTTAAACATAATAGTGTTTAACACCTCACAAGCACACATTTATTCCCTTAAAAACATTCCAAAACTTTTCTGTATATACTTTCATCCCAAATATAATGTTTCTGTATTCTTACATTGTCGTAGCTCAAAGGTAATTGGAGACGAATGCAAATATAACATTTCTTGAGAATATCTGCCCATAGTATCTACCTCCTTTTGTACACAAGCAAAAATACAGATGTATATTCCAAGGTTTTTGGTGTCCAGAGAACCAATTCTTCCTCACTTAATCCCAAAACTTAATCTATTTAATCAATGCTGGATCATTGCTGTCCATCACTCCCCGATCCATTCTCTGTTTGTTAAAACGGCCGTGAAGTGGGTGGACCAATAGTTGTCTGCATAGGCTAAGATAGGGCCAGGAACATATTTATTCAGTCGGCTGTCTTTAGTCACTATTAATCCCCCAACCCAACAGTGGATGCTTTTAATACCATCACCGGTTTCATTTTTAGAAACAGATTATAAGCCACTCGAGTGTGCATTGTGACTGGTAGTTATCCCTCTGTGTGTACTCAGAAGTTTGAAGTCTCTGAGAAAACCTTTTGCCAGATTTAGAAAGTTTGCTTTGGGTGTAAGTAGGGATTATTGAAAATTCTCTCCCAAGGACTATAGTCCTTGAATAGGTATTGGAAAGAAGTAAAAAATTGTCTTAAGATACATGTATATAGAATCTGTACGTAATGTAAGATTTTAAATATGTCATATAGTTGGCCCTTATAGGGCCAAAAAAAAAAGATCTCCGCTTCCAATTACATGGCATTTGAAAATAGGGTAGGTAGGGAATTTCTTTTGGCGATTTTTTTTGTGTACGATCATATTGAGGTGTCTGCGTATAGTAAAGGGTAGTAATCAATGGTTTTCAGGCTTTTTCCCCCTCATTTTCCCCCCAAGAAAATTAGGGTAGGGGCTGTCAAAATAGGGAAGGTAGGTTAACCAGAAGTAGAACAATTTGGGGTTTTGGGGGCCTAATTACAATGCATTATAGCTGTAAAATATCAGTTAATTGGTAATTTGAATGTTGGTTAATATTTTGATGTATATATTTGCATTGTATGGCTTGGATGGTGGGGTTGATGTGTGATGTAAATCCTGAACCAAAGTTAGATTCTGGTTTCAATGTTCTTTTAAAAAAAAATTCAGCAAAGCATTAGGCCTAAGTTATGAAAGATCTGTAAGAGAAGCCGTTGTACTAGCAGTATATCAGAATTTGTCAAGGAATTCAAAGATATTGCATGGTTCATCTTTATTTATTTGTATAAAGCCACACCTGCAAGATCCTTTATGCTCTGTGGGTGAAATTGTAGCCTACAAGCTGAGTTTTCACGTACTTGGTCAGCTGTCCTACAAGTTTAACAGTGTGCCTACAGCCATTGAACTTTCCCCTAAAAGAAAATGCCTTATTTATGGACAGGCATGCTTGGTCTTTGCAAAGTCTCGATTTTAATTAGCAGCAGACGTGCAGTACCAACATCGCACCCCGGTGTCACATTTACTGTATAGCTGTTAATACAGGCAGAGGATTATGGCACATTGCTCTCATATTGTTCAGAGAAAAAAATACAAGGTGGGCCTGTCGGCAAGGTAATGGGTCGGTCGTGTGTGTGTTAGATCCATCTTGTAAGATGTGGCCTTGTCACATGATCATTTTTCCCCAACATGTACATATTCTTTCCAACATGTACAGGAAGGTTCATTTAACGAGACAAAAAAAAAGAACAGAAAGGATATGGTCCTTTTGTTTACCTCAGGGATTGAGTTTTAGGTTAAATTTTTCTGAAACTGAAGGGCCTGGCGCCTTAAAATTGTCTAGGTCTACAAGAATTTGCACCAAAACCTGCTGGATTTTTAAGAATCCTTGAGCGATTTGGGTTTGGATTCCAAACTGTTGTCTCATTGCTTTTTATTGTAAATCCAGGTTGACTCGAGGTTTGAGTGGAATGAATAAAGGTGTTTGCCTGGTGTAAATTTTTGTTGTTGTATTTTCCAGAGACCTAAGTAAAGGCTCATGGGTTGGTTCAGGATTATATACCAGGATTTACACTAGGATTCTTGCATCATAGTCCACACTGTAGCCTGTTGCTGACTTTTTATTGTAGTAAATTATTGACTACTTTATCGACCACAGTTGGTGTTGACCTAGAACTTGCATCAATCCATTCATATCCTCTCTTAAATAGTTCCCGTGGCTCAGCATCCCACACACACACATCCTTTATGGGTTCATTCAACCTTTTAGGTGTATATAAAACCCTAATACCCAGCAAATCCATAAGTCGTCAATTATTAATGGGTTTTTATGGGCGGTCAATTGCTTCATTGGGCCCGTTGAATGGCGGCGTATTATGTACGGGGATTAGCGCTGACATTGCGCGGCACATTGCCACTTGCAACTTTCCGCTTTTTTTTTTTGCCCCTGTGGGGTTGCTCAGAGTGCAAGTGCATTTTAAAGGGGCCATGAAAGATGTTTTTATTGGGATTTTGAGGTGTATTTTTCTGTCCTATTTATTCTGCCATATCTGGGGAAAACAAGAAATGAAAAAAAAGAAGGAATCTTCAAAATTAATACTTAAAATACGGTAGTTTACAAATACATGTAATAAAGATGTGTCCACAGATAACTGTGACTTAACCAGTGATGGTGAAACATTTCTGAAAGTTGTGTTCCATATTTTTTTTCTCCAAAAACTAGAGATTCAAAAGTAAGCGGCAAAAGACATCATATTTGAAAAAGGAGGGCAGACATTGGAGTAATGCCTCTGTGTTCCCACCGCCGCCTGTAATATTTACCCATTAAACCTCACTGCTTTTCTGTTTCATAGATTTTGTTCTAAGTAAGAACATGTGTATGTAATTTAAACCGAGCTTCATCAATCTTTCTTGCCAAACATGTCTTGTGACCTGCAAGGTATGTAGACACCATGCACAAGTCAAGATAACTAGAGTGAAAGAAGAACATCAAACATGATATGCTATCACTCAACAATTTGTGGGCATTTATATTGATGTTCACTTTCGGCATCATAACAAATGACCCAGCCAGCCTTCAGTGCATATCAGAACAACTTAGGTTTCATCTAGACTCTACCATCCCTCCGAATTCCATCTTATGAGCAGAAGTTTTCCTGGACTGATAAAAACCAACTGCTGTACATGTACAACAAAAAGCACCACCATCAATGATTGTATGCAGACCCTCTTGATCCCCCGCTTTAAAAAAAAAATCCATGTGAATAAATCCCCTTTGGTTGCAACGAAAGACCCCAGTGGCCTGTCAGTATGTGTGCGTGCCCCAGTCCCTTTACAATTTGTTCATCCTTGTGTGAAAATACCCTCAACAGGGATTTGGGCATGGGCCAATCTCTTGAGACCATTGTGAGATGCAGATGAAGCGGAGGAGGGGAACTGCACCACAATGCCCTGGCTCTCACTTCTTCAGAAGCCCTTGGCAACTTCAAACCCCCTCCAGGCTTCTGCCAGCATTTGCATGTCAAAGTGTGGGATGAGTGCCTGTACGCTGGAATATATCTCTTGGTATGTGTGCACTGCTTTCGGGGCTGAAGCTCCACTGCATGGCCACTGTGATTATTTACAAATTCAGACCTGCGTGTTGTTATCAAATACGGATTAAGGTAGGGATGAAGGTGTCTCCATGTTCCACAACAGCTTTTGTACACGGTGCCAGACCTGCATACATGAAGTGGCTTTAATACATGGAAATAGTAACAGAAATAGTTGAGGATACCTTCAGTTTTTAATGTGTAATCTTGCTTTACTGCATTGCGACTATGGTGTGCCGACTATATTTGCAGAGACTCACTTGAAAAAGTGTGAGCAGTGAAAACCTGATGGAAACGTAATTTGGAACTTTGGTATGCGTGATGCTGTCAAGCTGAAGGAAACCTCCATGCCCTCAAGGAGAAGTGATTTGTTCCCAACTTATTACCACTGAAAGAGAAACTTGAGCAACTCCCAGACAGGATACATGTGTATTATAATCATAATTTACAGCATTACTGTATTTATCCACAGCTGATTCCCATCACGGAACCAGACTACTAAGTGCTCCAAACTAAAGTGCTACTAACTGCTTACCACTCAGTACCACTGAGATTTGTCATTCCATTGTGTTGAGAGAGTGCCTGGTGTCTTGTAGGGCTTTTTCTTTTTTGAGAAGAAACTGCTTGGAATAACATCAGCAGTAAAACTGATGTGATGGATTTCTGCCCGAAGTTGCACTGCAATTGTAAGGGTTGGTTAGATTTGCTTCCCTTGGACTATGTAAGGATTCAGTGATGCGGTCTTGAATGATGACATAAATCACATTTGCTCCTTCCAGCCCATTAGGCCATTATTGTACCAAGGATCCATATATATCCCATAGGACAAAAAAGGAGGCCGCATTGGACCATATATAGTACTTGCTGGTGGAGTTTGAAACTATTCAACTTCTTTGAAAGAGTGCATGGCGATATAACATGTGTAACTCAAGACAGCAGCAGTCACATTGCACCTTTATTATCATTATGTAACAGCATTCCATTCATACTCGGGAACTATAAATGGAAAATCGACTGTGATGAGTCTGACAAGGAGCAGGTTTTCTAGATGCTGCTTATCACTGGTATCTGAACTGAATGTAACCTTCGGTTCATGTTCTCCACTTGGTGTAAGACATTGTAAAGATTAGATGTGCAGCACAAAAAGGTCTCGCCTCTCCCATGCATCAACTATTTAAACAATTTCATGCTACGGGTAATGATGTCCAATAACGTCATCCATTACTGCCATCCACCAAGAGACGAAGCTCGCTATCACCGGTCAAGCGTAAGGCAGGAACGATCGCCTTAATGTTTTGAATATATTGCCGTACTGTGCATGCCTGGCTTATTAAGTCTCCGCAGTATGACTTCACAGCTTCTCCACAGAAGCTGCACCGACCTTGCATCTCTTTGGATATGGGACTAAAGGTTCAGCCTGAACGGAGATCCACTCTACCTCATTAATAACAATTTCCCCCGCAACAATAGGAGGTCATTCGGTTTAAATCCCGGGGCGCATGCTTCACTCAGCCTGACAAAAGGAAAATTTCTGCGGCAAATGGCCATCTGTAACCTGGCGGTGTCTTCTTGCTGATCTGTGGCAGTGATGGCTGCGGCATCATCCACACCATACAGTGAGATCCAAAGGCGGGACTGCAGTTATGGGGCTCATCAGCAGCAGCGTGGTCTCGCCATGAGTTCATCACCGAGTCCCAGTCCCAGCCCGACTTCCCCAGATGGAGTTTTTCTGAGGAAGAGGAGGATCACCCCTCCAGAGATACAAATCAGTTCAGAGAATGGCAACACCAGACGATGGATGCTGCATAAGATGAGACTGCAAACCCTATCCCTTGGTGAGTTGTCTTGTTGACAATCAAAATATCCCCCTTTCTCCAGTGGCATTTTCTTAATTCTGAATTCTCATGCTTCTGGGGCAAAAGAAAAGATCCCGCTTGGCTTAAACTTGAGTACACAAATACAAAGCCTGTGTACATCACAAGTGAATTCTCTCACTCTCAGGGAAAATAATAAGTACTGTATAAACAATATAATGTAACACCACAGGAAAGTACAATACGGTGTATTTGTTTACAGAAAGTGAAAAAAATGTAAGGGCCCATCTCAGTAATTTTGTAATTTTTTCAGTTGTCTGTCCTGGAGGGGTGTTCAAGTCCTTGGATAAATCCCAGATGTTTCAATTGACATGCTTTACATTGACATGCAAGTATCTCCAGAAAATCTTTCATTCCATTTTAGGATTTCTAGCTTTGAGATCGTGTAGAATTCTGTCATTTCTTACCAGGACTTTATAGCCTAAAATATGTTCTCAAGCTTAGTAATATCGAAGTAACGCAGACTTTGTGTGATTGGTGGCTGTGACATGGAGGTGGCAATCTCATTACCATTCACTGATTACTTTCACCGCATGATTTGGAGCGTGCCAAAAAAAACCCCTCATGATGCACAAGCTACAAATATCAAAAGGCCATGTCAATCAAAAAGCTAATGAAAAGATTCCATTCAGTGCAGCGATAATAATGTTATGTCTTTCTCCCTACCCTTCCTTACATAGCACCTCCGTGGTTGAGCTGGTCGCGCCTCCCTGCACAACGCATTAGTGGCTAGAGTGTATAGTTTATGTGGTCCTGTCAAAAACTCTTTGCAACTTAGGAGGGGTGTGGGAAGGGGGTGGAGGGAAGGAACTGAGAATTAATCCAACCATTGTTCCCTGATTGACCTTCCAAATTCTGTAACAAAGGGAATTGTCACCCTGAAAAACCACACTGATAGACCCATCTGAAACCTTATAATCATTCCATCATTGGAAGGTTTTACATGTATGTTGAAGTCGAGTTGCTCCTGATAGCTGGATAATAATATCTAGATGATGAATCTGGAGTGCTCAGGTAAAGGTCTATTTAAATAAAAGACCATCTTTTTAAATGGAAGAATTAAGAACCTCGCATTTACATTTATACATTGCCAATAAGTACAACACAGTTTACTTGCAGGTACAATTTTTGTTCCTCAAAACCAAATTGTAGATAGAATGTTTCATGTGGTCTCAGGAAACTGAAGTATTCATTACCAACCTACATGTGTGCATTATCTTAATTACCTGTCACAGCTTTTCAGGTGCTTTGTCGTCTACTTGAGTTTCATCATATATATATAGCCTCCATCTTGTACTAATGAGCCCTTTCATGTTTTTTTTTCTTCCTGGCATATGAATTGATTCAGCTATTTCCTGTTTCTACACTCCTCAAAATAATGTCTTCATTACAATAGCATGAAAACGATCTTCAGAAAGCTGAAGGAAAATATTCCAAAAATTTTGGCTTTTTTCACCTCGCTAACTTCCTGTTGTGATTTTGATTACTCACTGCATTGCTTGGCAACCATTCTTGTTAAACGTAGAGTTGCAGCTATCCAAAAAGTAACTGACAAAATTATTGTTGAAAAGCGTACTTGGTTTAAAGATAGTAACGGCACTTAACTCCCTGTGAAATTATACTTTCTGGCATGCTGTCATTTTTTATGAAAACAATAAAAGAAGGTCATTTCCAAAAATTTTGCTAAGCATTTTTGGAAATTTCCGTTAGTAGTTCGTTTCTAATTCAGCGAAGTCGTGAATGGGTGCGTGCCAACGTTGGCATGACACACGCGCGTGCAGTTGCTATAATTCATCGGTTCAGTGCCTGACATCGCGTAGCTGCAATCTGCTTTGTTTTCTCGGAATATACAGCATTCACTGAGCTAAAACTTCATCAGGTTAGTTGTTAAGCACCCGTCTTTAGATTTTGAGCACTTGTGTTGCTTCAAATGAAAAAAAAAATGCACAAATGACAAATGATATGCTCTACCTTTAACCAGTTAAGTGGCTGAAAATCACGCCACTTTGTTTTTAAGGCAAACTGATGTGAATTCATTGCATTTAATCAGTACCGTTATTTGTGGATATTAGTTTATGGAAAAAAAATCAGGTAATTTCCATCTACATACATGTATATATTACAGCTATGAATGGGCAAAGATCAAAGTTCTAAGTACCTGACAACATCAGAAAATTTTAATTAAAGAAAATACCGGCATGTCGGTCTGTACAGAGAAACTTTCTTTCCAATCAATCAAACGGGGTCCTTGCACCGACAGCTGTGCTTATTGAAACACCCAAGTGCAATAAATACCATGTAGTGTAATATCCTTGTTCTCAGTCAACACCTTCTAATTATCCTGACCGTGTTTACATAATGCTGTTGGGATGCCAGCCATCTCTCCATTGTGGTGGTTCTCCAGAAACAATGTTGATAAGTGATAAACATCAAGGTCCAGCATTTTTGAATTGTGAAAATGCTTCTGTGTGTGTAAATGGTCCCTGGTTGGATGCACCGTGGAGCCTAGAGCACTGGTGTTATTTTTTAATTTTATGATGAATGAATCATGTCGTCCTTGGATCCTGAATCAGGTAAGATTGTAGTCATTTTTGATTTAAGTCTGATAGCAATGTCGTTGTCAGAAATTGGATATCTGTGACTCTTGGTACGGTTTAGTCTATTTCCAATATTGTGGAAACTGCTTAGAGCTTTTGTTTTCAAGAAATTCCAGCTGTGTTTCACCTTTCCTTTGTTTTACCACAATATTTTATAACATGTGCATGTTCTGCAACTTGCATTCCTGCTTTTTGGAATCTCTTACTTAATACATGTAGTACTCATCATGCTCATACTCAAGATATTTCTTCACCGTACCTGATATCCGATTAACTGAACTTGTACATGTAGCAAAATACTTGGTCACATCACAGCAGTCATGTCTTCTTGATCATTACATTAATTTTTCCCCTAAATACATACTGTACATGTATCACAACAATAAAATCTTCCTTGCAAAATTGTCTTTCTTTCAGTAATGTTCAGTAATGTTCCAAAATTGTTATTTTACATGCTTGCAGTCCACGTTTCCATGAATTAAAAGTCCTTGGCTAAAAAAAGAAGAAAATGTTTAAAACTGAATACATGTAAATAAATCAACCATAACTAGTAAATGTATTCAGTATTACCAGCTCATTCTCAACAAAGCATGCAAACGGAATGCAGCGGGTTTCTCTTTGTTCTCCCAATTACGATCCAATTACATCAGAGAATATTAATTTGGTCACCCAGCATGAGTCATAAGCCCAAATGACCTTCACTTCTAAACCCTTGCCCCGCTAACTGGCCCCTCAAATTTAATTTCTGATTTATGCAGCTCATTGGGCCCGTTGGTTTTGCTTGAGCAGTTGGGGGGACTCTTTTGTGCTCTCCCGGGAAAAATTGGCTGTTTGATCAAATTTTCAACGTGACTAATACTACTGGTTCAAAACAAAATAAGGGAAATGTATTTTTCACACATGCAAATCTGTATTTTTTTTGGGGGGGGGGAGGGGGAATGACTAATATCTCAATCCTTTTCTGGAAGAAAATTTTTGAATATGGACACTTATTATTCTGATAGGTAAGTGAAGACATTTGCTGGTAAATTTTAGGGACGGAGTTATTTTAATTGTAGGAAGCAAGTGCCTGTACAATGACTTGCTTCATTATGTTTTCATTAGTCGAAGAATATTTTATTTTGGTTAAAGCAGTTAAAAAAATATATATATAGTTTGGGGGCATCTGCTCAAAAAATTTAATTCATAACATTTTTAGCAGGCCTAAGAAAATATACTGGACTACATTGGCGAATTACATAGATTGTCAAAGATAGGCCTATTTTTTGACTCTGATGAATATATTTATCATTTTGTCTGTCCGGCCAAGAAGTTGATTGAGTTCAGCTGTGTAAGGATTTGATCAGTTGTCTTAAAGCTATTCTTTATGTTGAGTGCCTTGTGCCCTGAGCCAAGCCCACTGATGACTCTCACCAGAATGTGTGGAACAATGCGGCGTTGAAGTCAGGGTTAAAAAGTTGAAAGTCAACCGGGATGGTCCAGGTGGAGTTTAGCCCAGGCTAGCCCTGACCGTGTGAAAAAAAGCTTGATAAAACTGTTGTATTGCAGATTGTTGTGTCACGGTAATTTAGTTCCAGAAAGGTTTCAGCCCAGGGTGAGGTATTTTTTCACGGATCACCACCAGCGAAAGAGGTCAGATCCAGGCTAAATTTCCAGGCCAGTAAAGTTTCACAAAACAATAAATATTTTGTAGAATTTTTTCCCAGAATACAAACGACTGTATAGTTGCTGTCACACCATGTATCAAAATACCCAGCAATTGTTGACCCTTATACCTAACCCCTCTCCCCGTGGAGACGCCAACAGACACACCTTGCAAAAGTCTGGACATTCCAGTTCAAATAAAACTGGAAAGGTTTCTCTGGCTCATACCGCCAGTCTGACGAGAATCCAGTCATTACCACAGCAAATTCTTCTCTGAAACTCAGGACTGCCAACTCTCACACATTGAGCATGAGACCCACGCATTTCAGGTTATTCTCAAGCTTTCATTCCCACATGGGATTTCTCACGCTAAAGGAAATAGATAAAACTTGAAAGTGATGTTTAGATGATGATCTTTTGCTCAAAAAAATTGGTTAAAGTGGTAAGAAATTGCCTCAGATCGCACCACAGAGCGTCTATAATCCAACATTTTTCGGGGCCCTTAAGTGGGCCCCAAACCCAATCAAAAATTGGTGCATGTACATTTAAAGCAATGTTGGTATTTCGTTTTTCTGAAACTGAGACGTGTGTGGATGGGAACTGGCATGCTTTATTTAGTCAGATGAAACCTGAAATCAAAGCCCTGGGAATTACTGAGACCAAATTTCTGTTGTCAGGGAGGAGAAGGCCATGGGATCAGATCCACACACAACTTCACTC